AAAACCAAAGTGGTAGTTTTCAAAAAAAGTGCTTAGCCCATCTTATTTCCATTTAATCTTTCATGTGTTCCCTTCGACATAGCTAAGGCTACAAAATGTGATTCATGTGGCTTTTTTTATTGGGACACTTTCATTTCAATAAATATTTATATTATAATAATAATATAATGATTCATAAAATATTGTTAATAAAAAAAATGTTAATAAAAAATATTTAGGGATATTTAAAGTATTTATTTATTTAAAATAAATTAACCGCTTTTAGTTAGCTCAAAACTACTTAACTTACAAAACTAAATATATATGTTTATTATTTTTATTGTCTTAGCCAATCTCTGCCACTATTTTTTTGGCACTTTTTGCGGCACACACTCACTCACCAACACACACGCAGAGTGAAATCCTAGAAGGGCGAGCGGCGGACGGCTCTCATGTCCTGCTCCACTCGTCCTTGCTCTAATGGACGAATAAATTGCTCGTGAATGAAATGAGAGTACGCTGGTCGCTCTGCTCCTTCCTGCCTCCTGAATACTGCCTCCTGCCTCCTTCCGCCCCCGCCCCCTTGCGTGTGGGCGTGGCTGAAGACGACAACGCACTCATACGCAAAGCAAAGTAAACAGACAAACAACAAACTGGCAAACAGACTGGCAAACAAACAAACAAACAAATGGAGAAACGGAGAAACGGATGCCCGAGACACAAAACTAAAACTAAAAGCGACATCCAAAACTAGGGGAAGAAATGGCTCTCGAAAATCGTATTTCTTTGACCCGGAACGGGGGCAATATTGGTGATAAAATAAAGTACGAGACGCGGGCCAAGACGATGACAGCATCGAGACAAGGATACGGATACCGATGGTCCGGCTGAGTCCTATCTGTCCCTCGGATCCCGTCCACAAAAATGTATATTTTAGTTAATATACCACAAGGCACAAAAGGGTTCTAATCGCTTGTAAATGGTACATGGCAAAGGTTATTTTATGGGGCTTACAAAGGTATGAACGCATATGGTATTGGGTAGCTTAGAAAAATGAGGTGTAAGAGTAAGCTAACACAAATACATACCGCAGGTGCAGCAAACACACTTATTGGGTGAATGTATAGGATGATTTTTAAATCAGCTTTGAAATTATAAAGTTTATATTATTTTCACTGTCTCAAAAGTTTAAAGTTTCCTCAACTGTATATTTAATTTAATTTTGAAAAAATTATAAGTATCAAAATAGTTTTCATAGTGTTGAGGATGAAATGTTGTATAGGTAAATAAAATAACTATTTGTTAAATAAATCTTTATGAAATTTAATTTTAATTTATTGAAAAACTTTGTTGTTTTTCATAATGATTTATTAATCATTTTCTGGTCATAACAATTAATCCTTACTATTATCAAAACCAATTTGCCTATTTTGATAAATCTTAAGGAAATAAAACCAATGGTTTTTCATTAAGATTTATTTAGCTAATATTTATTACCATTTAGAATAAATGTATAACTATAAAATTGTATTTTACTGATTTTAATCTTAGCAAAATATATTATTCATCTTTATTCACCTATGAGAATATTTAATGGTATCATAAATATAAAAACTAATCAAAAGATAAGTAAATTATTAATTTGTAATTGTATTTGCACACTTAAATGCTTAAACCATCCCAATCATTTAGCTTTTAAATAAAAGTGTCTGTCTTAAGAGGCAAATCCAAAAGCCAGGATTAAATTGCTTTTCATTCTTCTCTGCTTTAAATATTAAAATTCTCTGATATCCGTGACTTCGAATTGATATTGCTTGTTGTTCTACCATCACTTTTAAAGAGCAATGCAACGGCATTGGCTGCTATTTTTTCCAGCAGGAGCTGGTTACCCCTTCAGTCGCATTGTCCCTACTGACACAGCCAGACTTTGAGTCCGACGCTCTTAACTCCCAACTGCCATCCCCTTAACCCCTTGTTGCCCCCTCTTTGACCCCTTGTTGGCCCCTTTTTGCCAGCAAGAACAACCGATAGCAGCCGGAGACAGACACATGGCCATCGAGTATGTAGGTCAGGCGAGTGTTCGGGGCTTTTATGAATTGCCAGCAGCTGACTTGACTTGATGGCAGCAGATTTTGGTTTTCATTTTGCTGCCAAAAGCCAAAGCCAAAGCCAAGACGACTAAAAATCAATAACTGTCCGCAAGGACACCGAAACGGGGCGCCAAAGTTGGGTGGGCGTCGGGTGGGTTTGGTGGCGCTGATAAAACTGCGACAAAAAGATTTCAAATTAAGCGACAGGACGCGAAGGAATTGGAAAACAAAGCAAAACTGATATCGAACCTTCGTGTTCGGCGAATTTCGAAGGAAGCAGTAGACAAGTCGAGCAATAAAGCAATTAGCAACCGACAAGGGAGATAATACAACTAATTAAAAGTAAAAGTTATGCGTCAGCGAATGAGATTTTTATTGAGAGCACAGAAGGACCTTGGCCGGAGAGGAGGCGTGGCAGCTGATATATAGCCTCACCCGGGTGGGAGTATTAAAATGCTGTTAACCCAACAGCCACACAGCCCCACACCTTTATCTCGGCCCAAATTATGAGGTTATACATAATTCACAATTAAGCAAACGCAAGCATAAAACATAAGCACATGACATTATTATGCTCAGCTCTTTCGGATTTATGTGTAGTGCGACGAAACTAAGGCAAAATTGTGAGAACAGCACAAGGATCTTGGGAAATAGAGACACTCACCGCACTTTTGTGTTGCCCCATTGTGACCTCATCAGATTGCCGAGCTCGGCAGGAGATTCAAATCAAATTAATGAATGACTTTTGCACCTTCGAGTAAAGCAGACAGGAGTGGACAAGGTTATTTGTGAGGTATTTTGAAGTAGACCGACATAATTAGTGGCATTGGTTTGGGGGACGAGATTTCTCGGAGTTTCAGGAGGCGCTCTTTAAATTCATTTAATTTTAGATAGTATATTAGGTGCTTTAGTTTCATATTATTTTAATTTTATTTCAGATGGCCTATTAACGTTTTTTTTTTAGAATTATTCTATTTTAAAAGTGTAGCCCATTTCTTCATCCTTTTCAAACTAAAAAGTGGTTCAGAGCTAGCCACAATTAATTGCGTAATTGCAAAACTTAGCTAAAGAGATTGTTCAGCCGTAATTGTAATTATTCGACTCTATGGTTGAGCATATTGTTATGTTTATTTGCGCATGAGACCCAGTTTTGTTTGACTTAATTTGTGTCACCCAGATACCGTACTTAATTTTGTATTTTCATGCTGTTAAAGTAAAAGCTTTTAATTTTGGCAATTTATTAATGAGCTTTTGCCATAGAAATGGCATTAATTTGTTCGCTATCTATTATTCGTATGTGTTTGTCGGTGCGTGTGTGTTATTATTTATTGCTAAAATGCATTAAAATTGGGACACTCTGTGGGAGGGCGTATTATTTATTTGGTTTCTGTTGCCTGCCATTAACTGACAAATTTTTCACTAATTGCATTGCATTAATAAACTGAAGTAATGCAAACACAAACAGCGTAAAAATCAACTGCAAAAAAAAAACACATGTCCATAACTGTGAATTATGGCCGATGATGGAAAATACCGTCTAATTGCAACTGCAGTGCCAAAAGCGATTGCAGTCGAGAAATGCGGGAACAACAAATCAAAGGAATACCAATTCATCGACGACTGTCTGCGTATGCCATAAATATGCATCAATGCGATGCCACACCTCCCTTTCGAAGAGCCAACGCACCGCCCCCCCGGCAGGCATTATAATTTAAATGGACTTTGGAAAAAGCAATTATATGAAATTAAATTCTGTGTGTGTGTGTGTCTCTTAATCCTGCGCTGAGCTGCATGCATAGTTCATGTTTTCCCGTTGCGAGGAGCACGCCGACCAGGCCGAAATGGGTGTGGTCAGTACCCCTCCTCCTATCCGCTGTCCTCTGTCCTGTGTCCTGTATCCTGTATCCCGTATCCCCTTTCCATCCACTCAATGTAAAAGTGCGTGCCAACACCTCGAAAGGACAGGAAGGATAAACAGGAACAGGAGCCGAGTGCGCGATGAAAAGACGGGAAATGGGGATAGCATTGCGTAATGCGTGTCTCTACACAGTGGAAAAGTGTCTATGAAAAGCATTTTCTTTTTCCCTAACCATATCCTAACTATGACAAAATAATATTTTTGGCCAACACAAAAACACACTAATTCGGAAAACTTAAAACTTCGTTTACATATTGATGTTAAACTAACTAATTAAAACCATAAACAAAGTCTCTAATTGTAATTTTTAAATGCAATCTATAATATTCTTGTACAGCTTTAATAACATAGTAATAAAGTATTAAAAGTTTATTTTAAAAAAATCAATACCGAATGTTTTAGCAACATCTAATTAGTATACAATTATATTATAAATATTTTGAATAAAGATATCTGTAAAAAATTGTTTTTAAAATTTTCCTACTTTTCTTGCTGTGCGTATGTGTGTTTGTTGAAAACTTTTCATATGAATATGAATTGCTTGCGGTTGCATCAAGTGGCACGCGAAATGCACTCAAAGTGCATTCAAACACACTCGCCACACAGACACAAAAGCGATTCGTAGACAGAACGCAGACTTCATTTGTGAACAAATTCATTTAGCGAGGATTTTTTATTATGTTTGTACTGATCACCATCCCATGCTTTTTATGATTAATCATAATAACTACAGAGGACAAAAGATTTAAATTGATTTCATTCATAACAAATCAAAAACACTGAAGATTATCTTAACAAAGCTAAAAAGCATTTTCAGAAGCTTATAAAAATTCATTTGGCAAAGTGGTTGAAAAGTTAGAAAGTATGTTTGTGGTAATTTGCAAAAGTAAAGGACTAAATATTTTAATTTAAAAACTAGTTGAAAACGATGCTTTTTAACCTTCAATTTAACTTTTCAAAACTACATTTTTAAATCTAACCGTGTTCCCCCCAGAAAATAAAACGCTTGTTGATTTCAATTTTTGAAATAAATTTGTTTATTATTGTTGCTTGACTTCATATTGTTTTGTTTCTCTTTTGACTTCATTGAGTCCATTTTTCGTCCGCTTCATTCGCTTGTTCAGTTAGTTTTGCGATTATTTAAAATAAATTTTCACTTACATACTAAATAATGGGCCATGTTCGTATTAAACAAAAATTGTCAAATAAGAAATATATTTTCACACATTTTTCCGCTGCGGCTCAATATTTCGTATATGTTAATGTATGCATAGAAATCGACATTAATTTGCATAAGTGGCATTTAGGAACACAAAAATCTTATAAAGTATTTTATCCATATTTATCGGTATTCTGTCACTTTTTCTGCTGCTCTAACATCGTTGCATTTGTGTTTTGCGAGTGTTCGGGAATGAAACGTGTTGAAAAATGAGTAAACGTGACTTGAAATGCTTAAACTTTAAAATGTAATATTTGTATTTGCATCTTGTGAATTCTATAAAATGGAGATTTAAAATTGGGTTTAATTGGTTTTAAGTGAAATTTTATTTTAAATGGCAATTTATTACCATTGGATGTTCTTGCTTATTTAAATTTAGCTAAAACTTTTGCGAGTAACTTTTTCTTTATTTTTGTTTTGCAGGGGATTTTTGACAGTTGCTGTACAAAACTTAGACTAAACAAAATTTTGAATGCATGTTCAGTTTTTTAGTTTATAGTTATAATGCTTATTGAGTATTTATTAGTAGTATCTCAATTGTTGTAGGCCATATGCTGTTGTTTTTGTGTTTTTGTGTGTTTTTTATTTTTTAATAAATTCATCTGGGGTCAATTTTTGTTGTATTTAGTTCATGAAACTTGTGTTTTATTGTATACATTTATATAGGTATTTATATATGTACATTTCGCAGCCAGACATGCGAAAACATTATTTATTCATGTATGTTTTATTTGTTGTTTGCATAATGAAAAAAATATGTAAAATAATAATAATACTGCTTCCATTCCGATTACTGCCGCTGTTTCTGCTCCCTTTTCAATCAATATCAATACATTGCTGTTGTTCTTATTTGCTCTTTTGTTATTTTAATGGCATGCCATTAAATAATTTCATTAAATGCTTTGTATGAGCAGCGAACAACATGTCAGCAAAAAAAAAGCCTGAAAGTATGCTCAATTCGATTGATTGTTTGTTTTTTGTTTCATTTTCCGCCTTCTGACAGTTTCTTTAACCGATTGTTGTGGAACGGGTAAAAACATTAAAACAAAATGCAAATGCATACATATCAAACATACTTTGGGAATTATCATCAAGTGCATTTAATAAAATAGTCGATTCAATGAGTTGAAAACAAATACTTCTAAGTAGAAAAAAATTGTGCGATATCGATGTAAAACACAAATGGGGAAGTGTAGAAAAAAAGGGTTTAATTTGAAAAGGAAATAATGGAAAAGTCGTTGTAAACTGTAATTACTTTTCGGACAGTCCTATAAATCGCTAGTCCAGCCTACTTTTTATGCGAAATGACATTGGTGTTGCTTAAATGAAAAAATACGAAGCCATTAAGCCCGAAACTGCATGGCGTTTTATTCATATTTTCCGATCGTTTTTCGTTTTTCGTTTGGGAGCTTAATTGTTATCAACGGCAGCTTCATCGGGCGGTCGGCTCATCATTATCGCATTGCCAGGGACAAGTGTTGGCGAGGGGTATATGATTTACTATAATTTTATTTTCAATTCGTTGAGTGTCAGCTATTAATATTATTATTACGCGTTCATATTTTCTCTGGGCGTATGTGTGTGTGTGTGTGTGTGTGTGTGTGTGTTTTCATCGCAGTTATTATTATGACTTTTTATTGTTTGCTGCATTTTTCACGCGTTCTGTGGGTGCGAATTTTTGCTGTGTTCCTGCTGCTCCTTTTGCATGTTTACCAATGGCATTGTTTGATGTTTATCGTACAATTTCCTTACATGCTAATTAATTTTCCTGACTATCTGGGGAAAGTGGAAAACGATTGGGATGCTTTTCATGGTTTTTGTTTTTTTTTTTTTTGTTTCTCGTACATTTTTATTTTGTTATTCAACATGGTTTTTCTTACGTCTGTGGTAGCTATGTAATATTAAATAAATTAAGGATTTATATTAAATTCATAATTATGTACAGGCCCTTATATAAAAACCGTTTTGTGTGCTTTTTTTTTTTTACAATGGTTAAACTATTGAAATCTCATTTTAAGGTATAGTTTCCATCTCCGCTGGCGCTATTTACAGGGTCATAAATTGTAATTTATTTAAAGAACTAAAAGTATCAGTCTGTTTGAACCATGCCAAAAAGTATGCTAACTGCCTGCCTCTTTATATATATATATATACTCATTGTTAATTTATAGTTTATGTTTAGTTTAGAGTTTTCCGTTAAGTTGTATAAATTCACTGGTTGCGCAGTCTGTCTCCTGCTGTTTTGCTAGCCCCCTAGACCCAAACTAGACCTAGATCCGTTACGCCCACAGGTTCTTCTGCTGATCCTGATCCTCGTCCTCGTCCTCATCGTCGTCGTCGTTCAGGCTGAGATTGGACTCGTAGTGGGTGAGCTCTGGCTGGCGACTGTTGTTGCTGCTGCTGCTCATGGTGACGCTGCTCTGGGTGCCACTCTCCAGCAGGTTCACCCCGATGCCACCGCCACCGCCGCAGCTGCAGAGCAGCTCCTCGTCGCCCAAGCACGCGCAGGACTTCTTGCAATTGTACGAGGCTCCGCCGCCCGGTGGCACAAAGTTCGAGCTGAAGCTGGAGGGCAGTCCAGCGGCGGCGGCGACTCCCTTCGCCGGCTGCCGCTTGCCGGTGCCCAGATTGATGCACTCGCAGCCGTTGGCATTGCTACGCAGCTGCTGCTTGGCATAGTCCACGCTGTCGTAGGCCGGAGCGGCACTGGGCAGATAGCTGGGCACCGCGTACTCGTGCTGGCTCCGTCGACTGGCCGCCTGATGGCTGGCATGGCCGTGATGCTGGTGCTCCAGCGTCTTGGCCATGCCGGCCACGCTCAGGTCGCGTTGCTGCTTCTTGGACAGCTGATTCATGGTGTTGAACTTGCAGGCGGCCGCCGCCGCCGAAGCAGACGTGGGAATGGGCTTATAGCCACGCCCTGCCGTCGCTCCACACTCGTTGATGGTGGCATAGTTGTTGCCGCCACACTCAGCATAGCGGGCACTGGGTGGCGGAATCACGCCACCATTCCCATTGGCCTGATGGTACTCGTGACTGCTGGCATACATATTCACCGAGGGCGTGCGCGCCGACAGGCAACCGGAGACCACCCGTTTGTTGTTGTTGCCCCGACCATTGGGCAGTGGGAGGGCGAGGCGCAGTTTCTGCCAGAACTTCTTGTCATCCCACTCGATGCAGGTGCTGGTGCGCAGATAGTGCCGCATGTCCATGTCGATGTCACGTTGCGGCAGATCGCCGTACAGGATGAAAACCACCCGCTTCCGCCGCTTCACCAGCTCGTGCAGGGCGCTCTTGTACTCGAAGCGGCTCCACTCGTTGTACAGAAAGTTCTTGGACAGCACCAGCACAAACTGCTTGGCACTCTCGGCGGCCTCGATCAGAGCATCCGTGATGTAGGCATTGATGTTGACATCCCGATAGTGCAGGCACAATCTGTAACCGATGTCGTTCTCTAGGGTTTGCGCCAGTATCTGGTTAACGAAATGCTCATCCTGCAGACTGTAGGCGAAGTAGGCATCGTTGGGTCGCTCCTTATCCAGCTGGTCGACGAACCGAGGCGACTTGTAGCAGAAGTTCATCAGGCAACTGGTGGAGTGGGCCCACATCTTCAGTTCGTGGCGATAGCAGAAGAGGCCAAAGATCAGGCCAAAGAAGGCCACAAATGCGCAAGTGGCCACCAGGAGCAGTGGCAGCAGACCCTCGATCTCGTTGGTGTGCATGTAGTGGGCCACACCATCGCGCAGCGTGCACTTGGTGCCGTTCTTCTCGCGCAGCACACTGGTGGCATTGTTGTAGATGCAGCTCACCCGCGACGCGTCCACAATCTTCTCCGAGCTCTGGCCCAAATAGTTGCGGAAACGGGCCAAGTAGCCGCACTCGCAGCTCCACTGATTGTCGGCCAGGCTGATCTCCACCAGGTAGGGATTGGCGCTCAGTTGCCACACCTCGAAGTGCATCAGTCGGTTGCCGTCGAGCCGGAGGACCTCCAGTTTCCTTAGCATCTGGAAACTGCCATTGGCTATGCTGGCTATCCTGTTCGACTGCAGGTACAACTCGCGCAGATTCTCCAGATTGTGGAACTCATTGCCCTCCAGGCTCACTATGTGGTTATCCTCCAGGTGCAGGATCAGCAGGCGCTTGAGTCCGCTAAATGTGGTGTTATATATGTGCGCCACGTTCGAGTTGTTGGCATACAACACGGCCAGGTTCTTGCGACCCAGGAACGAGTGACCGGCCAGCTCCACAAAATTGTTGCCATCGATATACAGCTCGGTGGTGTCCATGGGTACCCGTCTGGGCATCTCGGAGTAGGCCGCACCGGAGCACTCCACAATGTTGGTGGACCAGGTCTGGTCGTGGAAACAGGTGCAATTGGTGGGGCAGGTCATCTCGCAGTCGCAGGCATCGAACTCACAGCAGTGGCACACGGCAAAGCAGTGCGTCTTGTAGGTGCACAAAAAGTGCTTGGGCTCGGCCTCGATGAGCGGAATGTAAGCCCGTTCCCGGTTGTTCAGCAGCTTGCAGTAGATGGTCTCCAGGTCCATGATGCGGGGATACTGACGCGACGTAATGTGGTTGATCTTCTGCAGCCAGTCGATGTTGCAGTCGCAGGTGAAGGGATTGCCCCCAATGTAGAACTCCGGCAGGGCACGATGCTCCCACACTGGCAGAATCCGCAGCGACTTGATGTCCAGCGTGGTGATTTGATTGGCATACAGATCCACCCGCGTCAAATTGGTCTTATGCATGAAGGTATCCGGATCCACGGTGGTGATCAGGTTATCATTGAGGAACAACAACTCTATGGAGTTCGGTATGGAGCCGGGTCCAATGCGCTGCAGTTGGTTGAAGCTCGCGTCCAGAGTTTGTAGCTTCAGTTCGGCATCCAGGCCGAACCGGTTGGACAGCGAACTGAGGCGGTTTTTGTGCAGATCCAGCCATTGCAGGGTGGCCGGGACATGGCCATAGTCGAAGGACTCCAGCCGATTGTCCGAGATGTTCAGCCAGAGCAGCGAGGGCATGTTGCTGAACAGTCCATTGATGTCGCTCAACTCGTTGCCATCCAAGCGAACGGCTTGAATGCTGGACGTCATCTCGAACGCTCCCGGCTCCACAACTGCAATGCGATTGCGGGCCAAGTTCAGAATCTGCAAACTGGGCAGATCCCTGAACGTGTGCATTGTGATGTTCTCCAGATAGTTGCCAATCAGACGCAGGCCGTACAGGTTGCCCAGACCCTTGAAGGCGCTGTCCTCCATCACGGTTATCATGTTCTCGCCCAGATCCACTGTCCTCAGGTGGCGCATGTTGCGCAGGGCCAGCGGCACCGTCTTCAGCTGATTGCCATTCAGATTGAGGTCCTGCAGGGCACTGCAGTTGCGGAAGGCGTCCGGATGCACGCCAATCAGCGCATTGTTGTCCAGCGACAGCAGCGACAGTACATACAGTCCGTTCAATGCATAGGCATCGAGGTACTTCAACTTGTTGTGCGACAACAGCAGTGTGTGTAGATTGTTCATGGGCGCGAATGTATCCGCTGCTATGTTCTCCAGCTGATTGTGACGCAAGTTGAGGATTTGCAGCGTGTACAAATCGCTAAAGATCTCTGGTTCCAGTTTGGTCAACTTGTTGTGCGACAGGTTGAGCAACACCAGACGAATGAGACCCACAAAGGTGTTCTTGTCGATCCACGTGGAGGTTATCTGGTTCATGGACAGGTCGAGGGCCTGCAGCTGGTCCAGATTGGAGAAGAGCTGCGGATTCAGCACACTTATCGAGTTGTTCTGCAGATACACCTCCTGGATAATCTTGGCCTGCTCGGCAAACAGCTCTGTGGGCAGGGCCACAATTTTGTTGGAGCTCAGATTGAGGACCTGCAGGTTCTTCAAGCCGCTCAATGCCTTGTCGGCAATCATCGAGATCCCGTTGTTGTTCACCGACAGCACACGCAGTCGCCTCAAAGTGCCAAAGCCGTTGGCTGGCAGGACCACAAAATCATTGTGGCTCACATCCAGATACTCCAGATCCAGGGAACAACTACTGCTGCTGCTGGCACTGCTGCTACCCTTCCTGGCCGATTCCGTGCTGGAGGCCGAGGCGGATTCGGTGGAGGCACTCGTCGGCGGCGGCTCCTTGCTGCGGTCCCGGAAGCCCAACTCGTTGACATCCTGCAGGCGATTCTCGCTCATGTTCAGGGCAGACAACTCGGACAGGGTGCAGAATATGTTGTCCGGCAGCGACCAGATGTTGTTCGAACTGAGGTCCAGTCGCTCCAGCCTGCGGGTCACCTGGAAGGCGTCCGCCTCGATCTCGAAGTTCAGCGCTGGCCACAGGATGTTGTGCGTCCGCAACGTGAGGTTCCTCAGCTGCTCCAGGCCATCGAGTACCTGGCGACCCAGACGCCCCAGCTTGCAGTACTGTATGGACAGCTGCTGCAGCCGGGCCAAGTGGGCAAAGGATTGCGCCTCCAGGCGACTCTTGGCCATGATCTCGTCGTTGCACAGGATGTGCAACGCCACCGTATGCTCGGCGGGTATCACGCTAAAGTTGGTCGTATCGAACTCGCTGTTCACCGTTCGCAAATTGCACGTCAACGCTATTTCCGGCTGATCCAGTCCAGCCGCTGGCATAAAGTGACAGTCGTCGGGCGCATCGTACAGCGATGGGTCACCGCCCCCGCCCCCGCCGCCCACGCCGCCGCCGCCCGCGGTCAAAGGTCGCAGGGTACGGGCCGGAGTCGAGGGTTGCATCAGCTGCGAGTTGGAGACCCCGGCCTCGCCCATTATCGCATTCGAATGCGATATCTGCTGGTGCTTGCTGGACAGCGACTCCGTGGTGTGCTGCTGATCCTGGGCCAACACAGCGGGCAGAAGGAGTAGTAGCATATAGTAGATCATTTTTTTTGTTTAAATTAGGTTTAGGTTTTTGGTGAGGGGGGAGCGGGGAAAAGAAGTTGCACGGGGGATTGTGGGAGAAACGAAAAGAAAATCAATTCCACTGGCTGGCCAAAGAAAAGTCTGCGCACATATTTTCGGCTTCTGTGCTCCCTCAACTTCAAGCCAAGATTTTTTGCTTATATCGCAAACCCCCAAATTCGTTAGTTAATTATGCTCTCTTTTACACCCGGCACATTTTCTAGCACTTTGTGTGTTTGAGTTTCGCTTGGATTTGGTATTTTTCTTATTTTCTTATTCGTTTTCGGCTTGAAATATGAATTTTCTTTTCGAAGGTTTGTTTTTATTACACGTCGCGACTGTAGGAACCTTTGATGAATTTTAATTTAGCTGCGGGCGCGAATTCTATTATCACTTTTTTTTTTTGTTTTCTTGGTTGAACCCACTTTTCTCTGGGCTGTGTGAGTGTGTGTGCGTGTGTGTGTGGGACTCGATTGTGGTGCAGCGCCGAATTTTCCGGTTCGTAATGTAACGCGCACGTTGGCTGACTTTCGACTGACTGCCGCAACGTGCGCAACTTCTCTTTTAAATGGAGAGTCGGCCACGAACTCGAAATGCCGAACCCCGAATTCCCGACAATCCGAAAAGCCGAACGCGAGCCGAGGAGCGCTGGAAAGAGAGCAACGTGAGCCGACAGGCTCTGCACAGGCGGGAATTTAACCGTTGACTGCGAGAGCATGACTAAAGGGAAATTCGCTCTGCCTCGGCGGATGCTGGAAAATGAAAATGATGTTTTTCTTTCTCTCCGACTCGCATCTTCTAATCGCATCAAACAGCTGGCGTTCGTTCGTATTTTTCTTGCCCTTTTCGTATGCCGTATCCTTTATCCTTTATTTTTTTGCCGCCGATTCGGAGATATATCCCCGCACCACTCCCCTGCTGCCAATGCCAACCGAACCGGCGACTTTGCTGCTGTCTCTGTTTTGATAATGAAAATATATGATGTGCATGGGCCAGCGCCAATCTTCATACAAACGTAATTTATTTTTATGCCATGTGGGTGTGTATGTGTCTACGTATGTGTGTGTGTGTGTGTGTGTGTTTGGGATCCTGGATTCAGAGGTCCTTTGGCTGTTTTTGCTCCTGTTCGGGGAGCCCATATAAAAATAATAATAATTCCTCACATTCCATTAAATTACAATAATAATTTTAATTAAACTGTTTTGTTTGCGCCTCATGTAGCAATTCCTGTGGTTTCATGACTTCTTTTTCGCCACCAAAACAGCAAAAAACTGTCTTCCCCATCAGGTTAATGATAATGATTATGGGCCACCAGCATTATGGGGTTTCGCTGGGCGCTATGTGTTTGGGGATTTGCCTGGATTGCTTTGCATTGAGATCTGAAAAGCTAGGGAAGGAACCTGCGACTCTAAAAAAAATATATGAAAAACGTGCCCTAAAATATACAGACAAAGTATGCAAATATAATAATATATAAAATGTATAGATATATATTTCGCTGCAGAAAAGCATTTATATACTGTTAAGACCAGCTTAATTTTATTAAAAAATTTTAGATTAATATTTATCAAAACAATACATATAGTACTGAATACGGATTTTTGTAGTTTTTGGTTCCTTTAAATTTTTTTCTATTTCCTAATTATATTGAACCAAAAACATACCATTTGATAAATTAAGTGTGTAGACCTAACAAGTATTCATATGAATAAATATTAAGTTATTTAAAAATTATTATTTATTCTTTTAGCTATCTTTAAGTGACAATTTGTATTTGAAAAAAGAGTCCTACCTGCTCTTGCTTCGGAAAACTCAGTTATTCCTTTAAGTTAATCAATCTTCCATTAAGAAAATCTTCCAAAGGTTATTTTATAAGAGGAATCCGATCCTTTGTTCCTTGTTTTGTTCACCATTGCCTTGAATTACTTTAATTGTTCAATATTTGTCTGAAAGCAAAAATATTGATGGATCACCGCCAACAAATTCAAAAGCGATTGCCACCGCATAGTAACCTTGATAAACTCGACGTCTTTCATGACTAATTCCCAAGAAAAACAGCTGGCCTGGGCACTTTATCTGTGAGTAATTTTCCTTAGCTGGCTCGAAAGTTTTCCCATATCCATGGGTATGTGGGTACAGAGATATTTTTGTCGCCACTAAAAGCAAACACAAAAACATTTCTGCCAAATTGCGTCAGCCAAGCGAACGCCTGCCACCCACTTTCGTGCTGGGCTAATGATTTGCCTAATGTTTCTAACAATTATGTGGCTTGGCCACACAAAAGAATATATTATGTAAGTTATTAAAATTATATCACCAGCAGCAGCAGCAGCAGCAGCAGCAGCAGCAGTAGAGCCACGAACAGCAGCCAAGTCTAATAAGCCTCCTGCACAGAGAAAAACTTTGACATATTTTACATAGTATTCCTTATTTTCTAATACTTTTCCATACTGCTAAAATTTGGTAAAACGGATAAACTGTCTATATTTACATATAAAATAACATAGTGTTTAATTGTATTGAAACCTATGGTTTAAGTAATTAAATATTAAATATTTTTGTAAATTATATTTCCTTTTTCTTAACAGCAAATATAGTTTAAAAGTAATTTTTTTATTACAAATAAAGCTTTAACTTTTTATGAAAGTATTTTTTCAAGTTTAACTGAAATGTTTTGCAATTTATTTTAAAAAACCAAAAACTTGTTTCCATCAATATGTCTGTTTTGTTTTCACGCCTGAGGGAGAACTTATTGTGTCCAGTTTTTGATAGTTTATTTTCTGTCAGTGTGCCCCTTATTTTCCTCACCTTCAGGCTTTCGCAGGCTCTTTCAAATGTAAATGGCGGCAAGGACGAGGTTTTTGTGGCTCGCTTTCCTTTGTGTGGTGGTGGCACATGCAACCAAGGAGGAATATTTCTTCTCCGCTCTTATTCTTTTTTCGCTGGTTATCAATTTGGCGAACGCTTCTGGCTTTTGTCCGTGGTCCTGGTCGCAGCTCCTTTATTTATGTGCCCCATAACGGAGGTTTCTTTCGCTTTTTTTTTTTTTTTTTTGGTAACACGAATGACAAGATTTTCATCAACGTCATTAATATTAACTTTTGCAATAATTCTCGAGCTGTGGAAAATTATGAGAAATGACCCACAAGATACAACCAGAGGCTGGGGGCAAAGCGGACCCGAATCGGAGTCCACTTTTCGACAAAGCCATAACTCTCGGTCTGGAGATTGGATTGGTTTGCTGGATTCAGTGGATGTCCTTGCCGTGGTATTAGCCTCACGTCTGGACGGATTTCAAGTCAATCTTAATTGTGACTCTATGCTCAGTGCTGTGGACTTGGCCTAATGACAGCATTCGGATTACTTTCACTCAAAGCCAAGGGGAAAGCCAGAAAGAAAGGTTGCAAATTTTTATGGGGCCCAAGCAGCTTTACGGGTGCACCCGAAAAAAAACACGGCATTTTTTAAGGACTATTTAAGGTGAGTATATACAAAAATTCATTTTTATTGAACTTAAGGTTTTGTATGTAAATTAATGTTAAACTTAATTTAAACGTTTTTTAGGCAAACTGCCATTCCTTAGATAATTTGATATAAAAGAAAATATATTCAACACCAAATTAAATAAATTTCATTTCATTTCTATTCAATTCATTCAATATGTTTTATAAATGCGAACAATAAATAATAGAATTGCGTTAGGTATATAGACGAGTGAACTTTGTTAGATTTAATTATTTGTTCAGAAATAAATCTTTAAGAGCTTAAACACATTTAATACATTTAAGGCGTTCATCATTATATGAATTAAATCACTTAAGATCATAACATTAGTAATGACTATTAAATGTATTTGATTGTTTGTGCTCAGGAGATTTTGTTGACTTATTTACGTTACCGAATTTCGTTTTAATATTTGTTTAACTTAGGACTGTTATGTACTGTTATATACTAATCAATGTTGTCTTGTTTGACACATGATGGGAATTTAACTTAATTCAACGCTTCTCCTAGCGAACTACCTAAAATTATTGCAAAAAAAAAAACCTAAAAGACCTTGGTTTTGTTTTCAATGTAAGCAGAGGTGAGGCGGGGGCACCTTGCTCCCTCCACCAAGGACAAAAATCACAATTAAATGTAACAATTGCGTCTCTGGGGGCCGCAGGACTCGGTAACAAGAACATCGGACTCGGTTCCCTCCTGTCAGTTGCTTGTCCGATGCCAGCTTAAATTGCCCATACACGTCACAGGCAACCACCACCCACAGCCACCGCCATCCACATCCACCCAATGCCACCCAATGCCAACCCGCTTATCTCCCACCCACCCATATCACCCATTCCGCTATCCTTTTTGGCATCTTTGGCAGCATCAGCTCGTCCTCGTTTGTCGTTTCTCTTTCACTCTGTTTGCGTTTATTAATTGTTGCCTTTATTTTGGCCTCATTTTATTTGATTTGGTTTTCCTTCGACTTGGCCTGCCTTTTTCCGCTCCTTTTGTTTTCACTAGCAGCAGCTATAAAGCCAAACCTAATTGACTTATCTTGCCATGGGTTTGCTAATTTCTCGGCCATTGTGTCTCGCTGGCCGGGAGCTTCTTTGGGCCATAAAAATGGCCAGACCGAATGGCCGGATAAGTCAGTCAGTGAGGCATTTCAGGCAGCTCGGACAGGCGGATAAGAATCTGCAGCGCACTAATTAGCAATTGACATGAATTGCTCATTAGCAGCAAACTAAAGCTAAAAATATTCCTAGGATATCTGTCCAACTAGTCGGGGATCCGTATCCAAAAGATACGAACAGGATAAAAAGTGTCCATCATTGGGGTGAGAAGTGTGGGGGGAGCTAATGCTACCCTAATCTCCAAATACACTTTTAAAAAAATATCTAATGGAATACAATGGCATTTAGCTGACACAAATGAAGTCGAAGCTGCTTTTGTACTTACAAAAGGGACATGAGAATTTTCAATCACTCTTCATTAAAAGATATATCAGAATCTAATTAAAGTCAGCATTAACTTTAATACACAAATTGTTTAATATTTTTGAGTGCTAAATGCATAAAATAATTTTTGTTGTTAATATTTATATTAACTTAAAAGGCAAATTAACTTTGTATTAATTTCTATTTGCAACGTTTGTTTAGCATATAATAATTTTATTTAAATTTCATTTACTATAATCTTTATGAACATAATATTTTAAAGTTGTAAGATAAGTATAAGTATTATATATAATTTGTTAGGTTTGCAGCAAACATGTTGGCTAAAATATTCAATGCATAGTTGTATATCTCAAAGTAGTAAGAATTTGCCCTTTAACCCAAACTCCTTCAAAACTATTTCCCCTCCCAATTGAAGCAATAAAGCTGAGGTATATAATATTAAATATAAGAAAATTCCGCAACTAACCCAATTTTTATGGGAAAATATCTTTCCGCATGCCGGAGTCGAAAAGCGGCTGCGGTTTCTCCTCCCCAGTCGCCTGGCCAAATAAACTGCAACAAATCTTGAATGTAGCCTGACCAAAGTCC